AAACATTCAGTTTCTTACCTCATCCGTTTCATACTTATTACATTTATCACCGCGCTCGGAACGCTAAGACCAGCCAGACACAATGTTTTCTGACGATGAACTGAATCGGAGGTACACGCTTCTCCGAACATAATAGGGTGCATACGCATCGAGGCCGGCATGAAAAGTGAATCACAACAAGTCGTCATTCGAAGAAGAGTTATTTCCTGTAACAAACAGCGTTGGACCTTTATTATAAGGATACTGAAAATATAGTGCGATGAAGCTGAAAATATAACGTATGGAAATCATCAAAAACAAAAGCGATCTTGTCCAGTCCCCCGCTAATTTCCTATTCACAATTCGCAAATCATTATTTCTATACTCATCCTATGACCTGAAACAATGTTCTATAAAAGAATTTCATCCACTGAATATGCCTAGAAAGCGGCGTAGTGAAAATAATAAAAACATTTTGAAATTAATGAAATTTATTTCATATCATCAACACAAACAACAGACAGTTCTAAAATATTTTTAGTAAGACTACGGTAAAATGACTGCACAATCGGGAAATTCAAGAAGTTCGCTGGTTCGCATTTACATAAAACATCATTTAAATTTTCATAACATTATTTCAGAAAAACATTCATTTGCCAAAACGTCGAATCCCAACGATAAAGTCGAATTACAGAGTTCTGTACGGCGGAGGAGGGGTTTCATAAATCGGGGGTAACTTTGCCGCACTTTCGTAATCCGGAGGTAGGTATGGCTAAAATAAAACAATGATCAACCACTGATAATAAGCATCTCTGAGATACAAGAACTCTGTAGGGATAAACAATGAAATTTAAAAACGATCCCTTGCGCAAAACGGAAAAAGTGATTTTTTCGCCATTCTATCTGAATCAATAGAACAACTTTTAGCCAACTCAGCTGGCTGAAAATTTTGAAAATCTAACCACACTAAGGTTGTCGTCTTTACCCTGAAAGATTTTATTTTGTTTTAGGCTTTTCTTTATAGGTCTGAAAATTTTGTATCGCTCCTAAAGCAAAGGTGAAAGAGCGAAAAACAACTGTAGAACGAGCCAACCGTCTCCAAAAACCCCACTGGGCCAAGGGCGAAGGGCCTAATGAAACTCCCCTGCAAAACGCCAGGGAAATGCGGACAGCAGTCAGAATCTGTTGCTGGGATCAGACGAGGGTAACAGTCAAGAATAATCGAAAAGGAATAGGTGTGACACTAGCCATTTCATTGGAGCATTAAGAGTTACAAGAAAAACAACGTATACCGATGTTCTAGTTCACCCAACAAAATATTATTGTTTATCATAAAAAAACCCTACCGATGATTCTGCTCATATTTTATGAACCTTCACCTGGGTCAGACTTTCCTTGCAGTTTAGCAGTCTGCAACAACGATCAAGAATTTCAGCCGTAAAACAAGCGGCTGATATGGTAATTTCTAGGATATTCGCTGAGGATTCTATCCCTAATCGCGAATTCGTCAGCGTCACCCCTGAACAATTAGTAATTATAACGTGATGACCTTCCAGTCGGTTTGCATCCCTAACAACCCGAAAGCGCCAGGACCATCAGGGATGTCTAATCCTAAATGCAAAATGCGCTGGACGACCATTCGTAGTTCGATCCTTATTTCCTTACGCAAACGATCTTCAATGGGAAGAACCGATATTTTACGTTTGGCAATATAAGGTCCCTGCGTTGAATCCTACTTCCGCAGCATAAGAATGGATCTGTGACAGGAGTATGAAAATAAATGTTTAACGCACTCTCCAAAAATAACTGAATTTTTAATACTCACGTACTAACTTGCTTCTAATGTCGAAGTCATCGTTGCTCTACCAAATTTCAGCACCTTCAATGTAGATGCACAGATGGATAAATGCGCCCGTGCTTCGTTTTACTCATTAAGATAATTTACTCTGGATTAGTTATATTTCAAAGTCAATTTTAATTATATTTAAGTCGATATTGTTTATATGCCTTCGCAAAATCTCAAATGGATATGTACGAAGGAGTAACCACAATCTCCTCGCAATTCTTACACGGCGTACTCGAACTTTGCCCTTGCTTGTAGCAGTCCACGGGACCGTTTTAGCAAGCCGCGACTCAGTGGCATTTTAGCACCTGCAGTGTATGTGCATGCGAGACCGAATCACTAAAAACTGAACCGAACAAATACCAGTTGAGGCACTATCGAAATGCCGCATCCGTAGGCATTTATACTGATAAAAAAACGTTTGTAACAGTTTGCTGGTAAGCCCATAATATCAGGGTTATTCTGTACGTACATATACATATGCCCGGGGATAGCGGCATTTCGGCGGGTGTGTGTGTCCGAAAAGGTTTTTGTTTGGCCCTGCATAGTGATACGACTTTGCCACGATGCACCGCAGGTGGCAAAACACCATTGAGCCACAGCTTGCTGAAACGGTCTCAGGAACTATTATAAGCATGGATAAGGTATGAGTAGGCCGTATAAATCCGAAGAAGTTACAGAAGGATGCTATTCTTACAGAATGTATGAAAAACTTGCTTGCTTGTAAATCCGTTATATCAGGTTTTGGTGGTTTCTCTTTAGGACCGGTATCATAGACAAGGGTCGGGTTGCAACAACACATTAGATCGGCGGGATTAACGCTTTCCACAGCACAGGAGTCACCGTGTCCCGACGATCCAAGTCATCGTTAATGAGTGTTCAACTGGTCCAAAATTGTATTTCACGGCATATTACACCCACGGAATAGTTTTTTCATACACCAAAAACACCTACTGGTGCAAAACCCCATTCACAGAATTGCACCAACACGTTGCTGCCGGTCCTAACAAGGTACTCCCCAAATTAATTAAACGGATGATAAGCAGATCGCAAATGCTCAAAACTATACATAA